ACATTGATAGTTTATATACAAATATTGTAATTTCAGAAGGCATTCAAGCCGTAAAAAACATATTCCTACAATACCCAGACGCCAAAAGACCAGACAGAGAGTTGTTGCAGCTCCTTGAAATAAATCTGACCAAAAACGACTTTGAGTTCAACGGACGATTCTTCCTCCAAATTAAGGGAACAGCCATGGGTAAGAAATTTGCACCTGCTTACGCCAATATTTTCATGGCAGAATGGGAAACAGCTGCACTCAACTCCTGTCCCAAAAGACCCCTTTATTATTATAGATACCTGGATGATATTTGGGGAATCTGGCCCTATTCGAGAGAGGATTTTGATCTCTTTGTGATCTCCCTGAACAACCACAATCCATCCATCAAACTGAAATACTGTATTAACCAGACTGCTGTGGACTTTCTTGACACCACCACTTTTAAGGGCCCAGATTTTGATTCGACTCTCAGACTTGACCTCAAGGTGTTCTTTAAAGAAACAGACACACATGCCCTACTACACAAATCCAGCTTTCATCCCAAACACACATTCGCAGGTCTGTTAAAGTCACAGCTCTTGAGATTTCACAGGATTTGTACAAGAGCAGAGGATTTTAAAGCGGCCACAAAGGTGTTGTTCTCGGCTCTGTCCAGCAGAGGGTACTGTAGGTCCTTCCTACGCAGAGCCTTGAGAACCTTCCAGCACCCCAAATTGCTCACCACTGATTCTCTCCTTCCTGTCATCACCACCTATTCCCCCGCAGCAGTGCAGCTGGTTAGGACACTTAAAAATAATTTCCACCACTTAACATCTACTACTCGGCTGTTACAGAACCATAGGCTCATTGCTGCCTACAGAAAAAACAAAAATCTGCAGGACACTTTAGTTAGGGCCAAGCTGGCACCACCCACTGACTCTAGACCCATCGGGCACGGAGAATTTTGTGTTTTCACCACACAAAGGCATGGCAAAAATTTTCTTCATATTCTCTTTTAATTGGAAAAATCTAAAATTCATACAGACTCTCACAAATTTTACAGGTACCATAAGAGCGTAAAACATACAAACATAGTGCAACTTAAGGGTTAAACAAATACCACATGCTCAAGAGTATATAAGAGAGGCTGAGAGAGGCCCACTTCAGTACGAAGAGCGAGAGAAGGAATTTATTTAAAGGATTATACAGTCCAGTTTTTGAAACCACCCAATCCTAGTCTGGATGGGTTTTCGTGATGCGTGTCTTGGTAAGTCTTCTGTGTATAGGAGGGATATGCCTCATTTGGACGAGCTCACGGACGGTTATTCTGGTCCAGGCTCGAGCTAGCTAGCTTTCATTCAATTCCTTCTCCCTAATAGCAAGTCAAAGCTAACATAGCAGAGCTTGTTAGCTTGTTGCCATCTTGCAGACCGTCCCAAAGCTCTTATTTGCGCTCTGATAAGCGAGGATCAGGGAGCGATCTCTGAGGAGCTATGAGCAAGGAAACAACACTGCATCCTTAGCAGAAGTCTTTTACTGACCGACACATGCCCATTGTAGGTCAGAAGTACAAACTTTCATTTATTAGACAGATTTTATTTCTTTTATTTCTCCCATGAACTTTTATTATGGAGACAATTAAAGTCAGAGAGAGTCAGAGTCTGTCAGCAAGAAACACTTTTTACACCATTTATCGTTCTTTCTATTCAGTCACATGTGAGGCTGCTTGTTCCTGTTTAGTTCAAATAGACGACCATAAAAAACATATTAAAGTAGAGTCGGACAATAAACTGCACTAAATTCTCTAATGAAGCAAACAAAGGAAAATCCTGCTATCTCACCGACTGCAGCTGATGGAAGCAGCCGGCAGCTCCGTCATCACAAACGGACGCCGCTTCACGTGACGCTTCAGAGGAAAGGACGGATTATGTCTTAAAAAATATTTTTCCTCATTCCTTCTCTCCCTCCTCCCTTTTAGCGTCTGACACTTACACTTAGAGGGAGGAGAGGGATAAAGTTTAATGGCCACAGGCAGGAATGACTTCCTGTGGTGCATTTTGGGGGAATAAGTCTTGCACTGAAAGTGGAGTGGGTGGGAAACATTGTCAAAGATGACATGACATCTGTTGTTCACTCTGACACAGAGAGAAAAACAGCGTTATCTTCCTGAGAGCCATGTGGTTCTCTGGCAGAGAAGAACTGTAACTGCGGAAAGGTGTCTCTCTGTGTCGGGGGGGTCTAAAGAATGCAGCATGTCCTCATTTATGTCATACATGTGACATGCGCTAACAGAAACAGGTTCATGGTTTCATATGTGTGCACATGGGCGGTAGCTACTTGACAAGTTAGTGCTGATGCCATTCTTCGTCTTAGGTCTGTCTCCACATTGTTTTCGTCCTCTTACAGTAAGTGTTTGTGCAGTAGGAGAGGAGTGAAGGGGTGTTGGGCTGGTGAGTTCTGAAATCCTTCTCTTGGTCTCACCTCAGAGCTGTAAGGTAAGAGTCTGATTCCTGTCATTATGGCTGCATACTGTGTGTGTGTGTGGGGGGGGGTCTAAATCTGTGTGTGTAATGCGGTTTCAGATGCAATGCAAGTCCAAAATTTGCATTGCGTTTGTTAAGTGAGTTTGAGTGCTGGACTTCTCGCCAGTTTCTGGATCATACACAAATGCTGCATAGCTTTTTCAAAAATGGACTTAATTTACAATCAAATATTATTTAAACTCCTCAACTATCTGAACAGGCTTATTGATGTACACACATCCACTCCATTTGTGGCTGACTTCTTAGAAAAGAACCGCTGAGAGTCTGTAGCCGGTCTGTAAGGCACTCTGTCAACCACTGTATAATGTCGCTGTTGATGTTCATATCACAAAGTCGCTTAATCAGAGGACATTTCTGCATACAATTAAAAGCTGAGCTAAAATCTATAATTAAAAGTCTGGTGGCAGTGAATCGAGGGTTTAGGTTTAGCAAAAGGGTTTTAATGAATGCTCTGTTGTACATGAGATCTTGCAAAAGGGGAGATGGTAGTTGTATGGTCAGAGGTGTTGAGCTAGGCGAGGTGGGCGTGAAGTCCAGAGCTGGTGGTGTGGCAGGTAGCAAAATTGATACCGACTCCAAACAACTGCACACAGACAGGAAGAGGTGTTACCACAGGGATATCCAAAATCAACAAGGGTTACACTAGAACTACTAGGAGGATTGGCCAAGAGTACGTTAACACGGGAGTGACTGAAACAATCTGGTGCAGGCTGCCTGGATCTCAAGAGAACTTGAGCTGGGGCTTGATTAGATGATCGCTCGCAGCCGCACTGGAGAGCCAGGTGTCCTGGAGAAAACCACGCCTGCCCACACAAAGACACACACAGAACATTAACCCATGAGTCGGATAGGCTGTGACAAGTCCAGCACAAGTCTTAGACTTCTGCTGTAGATGTTTACTGACAGTATTCATCTGTGTCTGTGTTGGACCTTCACCATTCACTGCAAACCATTCACTGAGAGATATTAAAAGATGATTGACTATGAGCTTTTCCATACATTTACATCAGTGGTTCTTAACCTTTCTGGCAGTCCGACCCCTTTTTGAGGTAGAAAATATTTTGCAACCCCCCCCAACACGTACACCTCCATCCTACTCACTTAATGGGATCAATTTTAGCTAGCTAGCTTAACATTTACTTTTTTTCCATTCTTCTTATTCTTTTCCTATTTTTGTGTCTATAGTAGCATTCTCACAACCCCCCTGGGACCAGGTGGCGACACCCAGGGGGGTCCTGACCCCCAGGTTAAGAACAGGAATAATATTGAAGGATTTCCATATTTTGGGAACAGAATTTTCATTTAGCTGGAATAATTGTGTGAAGATTGTTGTGAGCTGAAACCAAAATGATTTGATCACCCTGCCCCTTAAACCATCTGGTCCAGGTGCGTTATTAGATTTAATTCTGGCCAGACTTGCTGCTACTGCTGACTGTCAGTACAGTGGTGGAGGGATCAGTATGGCAAGGCAGATTTGTGTAGCACATTTCAACAACAAGGGAATTCAAAGTGCTTTACATCATCAACATTAAAGCAACATAGGAAAAACACAAAATAAATAAAATATAATAAGGGGTAAAATAAAAACATAAGGCTAAAATTAAATTTAGGAAATAAAAAGAGGGTAAATCAGGACAGTGAAAGTGCAGTACATGACATCTACAGCCTTACATTTGATTTAATTAAAGGCAGTGGTAAAAAGACAAGTCTTCAGTCTTGATTTAAAAGAACTGACAGTTTCAGCAGACGTGCAGTTATCTGGGAGTTTGTTCCAGATATGGAACATAAAAATGAAATGCTGGTTCTCAATGTTTACTTTTGACTCTCTAAGATTGTTATTCACGTCGGCGGTAATGACTCCCGGTTACGCCAATCGGAGGTCACTAAGATTAATGTTGAGTCGGTGTGTACATATGCAAAAACAATGTCGGACACCGTAGTTTTCTCTGGACCCCCTGCCAAATCTGACCAGTGATGACATGTATAGCCGCATGTCGTCATTCCGCCGCTGGTTGTCGAGGTGGTGTCCAGCAAACGATGTGGGCTTTGTAGATCATTGGCAGACTTTCTGGGGAAGACCTGGTCTGATCCGGAGAGACGGCATCCATCCCAATGAGCAGCTCTCATTTCCAGAAACACTTTCAGTCTCTGCCAACATCACCTTTAATGCCTGTATCTCTGCACGGATATTGTCTTGTTGGCTGCTCCCCTCTACCCTTCCAGCGCGCTCTCTCTCTCTCCCTCTCTCTCCCCCCCCTTCTCTCTCTGTCCCTCTCTGCCCACCCTGAGTCATGGTTCTGCTCGAGGTTTCTGCCTCTTAAAGGAAGTTTTTCCTTGCCTCTGTCTCCTAGTGCTGCTCTTGATGGGAACTGTTGGGCTTCTGTAAATATCATCACAGAGTTCGGTCTAGACCTGCTCTTTTATGAAAAGCGCTGTGAGATAACTGTTGTTGTGATTTGGCGCTAAGTAATCCTCCCAACACTGCGAAGCATGTTTGTATCCAGAAAGGAACCTTATATTGGCAAATTTGTGTGCATTGTTTCTTCATTGTGTCTCATTTTACAACAAATAAAACTGAAAGCAGCAAATGCCTAACCTACTAAATGTTAAACTCCAAAAATTACTTTCTTGTCCACATTAACATTTTTAATTCTACATGCTCTGCTGCCGCCTTGCTGCATGTCGTCGGCCGTATGTGTGCGTGTATATATAATTTAATTTACCTTTTCTCCAGACCTGCATACTAAACCCTCCATCATGATGATCAACTTTGGGCCAAAGGACCTTGTCATTCTTGGTAATCTAATCATGAAGATCTACAAAACCCGGCCCAAGGTCCACAAGGTGCGCGTGCAGCGAATGAAGTCCCGGATTTCGGTTTTAGAAGAGCAGCTGCAGATGGCAAAGGATGTCGTGTCGGACTCGGTCCATGTGCAGCAGACAGTGTGCCGGCTGGAGCAGGTTCTGGAGGATGCTCTGAATCTGATGATGAAGATGGAGGATCTGTCCTGGATCGAGCGCTTTATCAAAAACTCCTCCGTGGACGGCAACTTTGCAGATCTAAACCAGCGCCTGAGTCAGGAGTCTCTGTCTCTCGTGCTCTCGCTCAACATCAACACCCAAGTTGTGCAGCAGACCTTCAGTGAAGACAGGAGGAAGGCGGAGGATGAGAAAGACCGAGCTGCAGATATGAAGTTCCTGGAGGAGATGAAGGAAAGTGAGTTTGATGCACATATACATACAATACATGAACACACATTCACACATCCTGTATTTGTTACCGGTGCTAGACCTAGGGGGAATCTGGACCGTCAGCAAAGGTTACACAGGCTTGGTAACACTGCGGCTGTTCCGCCAGTGTATGAATGTGTGTGAATGTTAGTTTCTGTTTGAGCACTTAGGCTCAGTGTATGAATGTGTGTGAATGTTAGTTTCTGTTTGAGCACTTAGGCTCAGTGTATGAATGTGTGTGAATGGTGAATGCAGATGTAGGTGGACAGGTCGCCAGTCCATCGCAGGAGTTTTTCAATATAAACATCTAAAAACTGAACGGATACCTGCTTTTTGGAAATGTGAGCGGCACTTTATCAGAGCTGCTGAAGTTAATGTGTGGATTTGTGGTAAGATTTCTGCCCGATCACAAGTGTTTCAGTTACTCTTAGTTTCACATGCAACATGCAGTCCCAAACTGTCGGTCAAATGGTCTAAAGGGGAGAACGTTATTACCAGTGAATAAATAATGTAATGCACTGCAGAGTAACGTGAAGGTAGACTTCTCATTGAATGATGATGTTGGTCTGCTTATATTCTGCCTTTGCGTCAGTGGGTTTAGACTGCACAGCACAAATGTGAAGTCGGTCGGACTAAATCCCTAGGAGGAGTACAAAGTGTGTAAATTGCCAAAAATGACCATTAAATCCTAAATTGCCACACCCATGCGCGAAAACCTTAAAATACAAAATTTTTTGCCAAAACTGAGGTTACTTTGCAGAAAGAAGGAAAGAAAGAAATAATCCCTTCAGTTTTAATAGGGACCTCACACGTTTCGTGCTTGGGCCCTAATAATAAACAGTCTCTGAGTAATCATCTGATTAATTAGAAGTAAGGAGAGAAGGGAAATTTCCCTTTCCCAAATTCCCAATTCCCAAAACAACACTTCATCTGGGGCCTGTTCCACAAAGCAGGATCTGAGCTTATCCAGGTAACTTCGGGGTTAACCCTGAGTTTTCAGCACCACGAAGGTGGTTCACTTGTTACCGGGGTAGATTTCCATGGTAACTTATGCTGAACAGCTAACCTGCTCCAGAACAGGTTATGTTCCAGATTAGAGATCAACTCTATGAAAACGTTGCCTACTGACCAATCAGCTCTCTTGAAAATTCCATCCCCATCTGTAGAAAATCCCACAGACTGTTTTAGCCTATAGGCTGCTTTATGTTTGCAGCGGTGATGTGGAGAAACTCTTGTCTATAGCGATATAATCCCTCAGACTGATTAAAAGCATTAGGCTATTGGTGCCTACAAGTTTTTACAGAAGGATAAGCCTATATACTGCTTTGAAATGTGTTTAATAAATGTGTTTTTGTTTTAAATACTGAATTTTAATATGAACGTAGGCTATGTATTTTTTCTTACTGTGCTTTCAGACAAAAAGCAAAGCGAGCGTTCGGGGCGGTGAGTTTACATACAAAGTGCAAAGCGGTGCGAAGGGGGCGGTGCCGGCGACGCAAAGGCAACATTAAGGCAACGCGTGAGTTGAAAATTTCCAACTCGAGCAAATTTTCACAGGTTCTAATCACCTATGTGAACACTTGCAGCATGGAAAGCATTCCGAGGATTAAATCAAACAAAGCCGACTGTATATCGCTTCAATCATTCAACTAGTAACAGTATTTCTTTTACAGGCACTATTTATTTATTCTGTCAAAATATGATGTTAACTCCGTCCATACAGCTACATCCATTCACAGAAAAACATCGTTGTTGATTAAGAGTGTAATTTAGTCTCTCTTCCAGTCATCCTAAAAGAAACACACACGCACTTCTCTTTCATTATTTCCCTTTGAAGAGTAATATACTATGGCATTTTACTGCAATCTGCTGAATTTAATAGGAAAAACGGACAACTGGGGAAACTGGACTAAAATTTGAGCTTTGTGGGAGTCTGTAGTATAACGGACGTTAGCGACGGGGGTTATATAAATAAATAATAGAAGCCTGGACAGACTTCATACATGGTCAACACTTTCTCTCACACACAGCAGCACACTGCTCACCCCAGATGTGTGTGATACTGCAACAAAGTTTAAGTTTTAAAAGCCTGAAATAAACTAACAAAGACTCCTGCTCAAGGAGCGATGCAAACCCGCCTTTTATGGTACCATATTAATTATTATTAATCATGTCGGTGCGCAGCATAGTTCGTTTGGAAAACATGTTTATTTTAGTGTGTTTATCTTAATATAATGTACATTTGTGATTAAAAATAATGGTTGGTGTAAATGAATTAGTGACCACCACAGATGCAGGATTTTACTGCTTCAATAAGAGCTCAGACCTCCTTCTGGACCATAACTAGAACCCTGCTGGACTATGTGGACTATCAAACTCTACAATCCATAAAAATGAACACACATGATACAACATGTATACTATACTATACTATACAATATATAATTTTGTCAATATCCCCTTTTTAAAAAAGAATGGAGACAACAGCCTACTGTAATAATACTTTACTTTATTCACTGTACACACACAGATTACACAGTTAGAACAGGAACTGGCAGCAGTGACTGATTTGCATTATCCAAAACATTTTTAATAAGTCTGAATGCATGTTCCATCAAAATATCTTTAAACTATCAATATTTGGAAATTAGGATATGCCAACAGTGGCTGTGGTGAGGAGGAGTATCTTTATGTGGGTAACTGTTTAAATAACCTTGTGTTTTAAATCTGCTCCAAAACAGCTGATTCAAACTATCAACTGATTTTGAATCCTGAAACTGCTTCAATCAGCTGTGTTGAAGCAGGTAGAGATTAAATCATGCAGGACAGGGGAAACTTTCTCCAGAAGAGGTTTGGGAAACACTGTTGTGTACACACATGTAACATTCTGTAATTTGTGTGGTTTAGATGTACAGTATTGACAGCGGTAGCTTTTGACGGCGAACACACACCAAGAGCAATGTATTCAGATTTTACTCAATGTTTTGGATAATGCTAGTCAGCTACCGCAGTCGCGATGTGTGGAGTAGCGAAATAACCGAGAATGATTCACGTTACTTCCTGTGGGGACGTAAAAAAACTGACCGGCCTGACAGTGGAGGTCTGCAGTTGGACCCCTCTCACTATTTGAGCTCATTTTATGGCATGAATGGAATTTTCGGTTCATCGCTTTATGAAGTTAATTTGGAACAATGTTTGGACACTTTGAGTGTGTTAAATAAATTCATCTCATTTTTGAAGTGAGGTAGAACGGCCCAAGTCTTTTTAATGTGGAAACGCCGACACAACCGAGCTGAAAGAATAAGGCTATTTTCATACAGCTCATAAGAACACATCAGATCAATGCATTATTACAGACTACATCTGTTCGTTTAATTATTGACACTGTCTACGATTTTCTGTCTCCCTGCATGTGTCAGCTGCAGGCGTGTTACTGTGGTTTTTCTGTAGTGTTACAGTTTGATCCTCATTCATAAAATATGACGCTAGCGCCAGCGCCTAGCAGAACATTACCACAGAACATACCCAGCGCCTGGCAGAACATTACCACAGAACATACCCAGCACCTAGCAGAACATTACCACAGAACATACCCAGCACCTAGAAGAACATTACCACAGAACATACACAGCGCCTAGCAGAACATTACCACAGAACATACACAGCGCCTAGCAGAACATTACCACAGAACATACACAGCTCCTAGAAGAACATTACCACAGAACATACCCAGCGCCTAGCAGAACATTACCACAGAACATACCCAGCGCCTAGCAGAACATTACCACAGAACATAGCAGAACATTACCACAGAACATACCCAGCACCTAGAAGAACATTACCACAGAACATACACAGCGCCTAGCAGAACATTACCACAGAACATACACAGCTCCTAGAAGAACATTACCACAGAACATACCCAGCGCCTAGCAGAACATTACCACAGAACATACACAGCGCCTAGCAGAACATTACCACAGAACATACACAGCGCCTGGCAGAACATTACCACAGAACATACCCAGCGCCTAGCAGAACATTACCACAGAACATACCCAGCGCCTGGCAGAACATTACCACAGAACATACCCAGCGCCTAGCAGAACATTACCACAGAACATACCCAGCGCCTGGCAGAACATTACCACAGAACATACCCAGCGCCTGGCAGAACATTACCACAGAACATACCCAGCGCCTGGCAGAACATTACCACAGAACATACACAGCGCCTAGAAGAACATTACCACAGAACATACACAGCGCCTAGCAGAACATTACCACAGAACATAGCAGAACATTACCACAGAACATACCCAGCGCCTGGCAGAACATTACCACAGAACATACCCAGCGCCTAGCAGAACATTACCACAGAACATACCCAGCGCCTAGCAGAACATTACCACAGAACATAGCAGAACATTACCACAGAACATACCCAGCGCCTAGCAGAACATTACCACAGAACATACCCAGCGCCTAGCAGAACATTACCACAGAACATACACAGCGCCTGGCAGAACATTACCACAGAACATACACAGCGCCTAGCAGAACATTACCACAGAACATACACAGCGCCTGGCAGAACATTACCACAGAACATACCCAGCGCCTGGCAGAACATTACCACAGAACATACCCAGCACCTAGCAGAACATTACCACAGAACATACACAGCGCCTAGCAGAACATTACCACAGAACATACACAGCGCCTGGCAGAACATTACCACTGGCAGAACATTACCACAGAACATACCCAGCGCCTGGCAGAACATTACCACAGAACATACCCAGCGCCTAGCAGAACATTACCACAGAACATACACAGCGCCTAGCAGAACATTACCACAGAACATACACAGCGCCTGGCAGAACATTACCACAGAACATACCCAGCGCCTGGCAGAACATTACCACAGAACATACCCAGCACCTGACATTACAAGTTTTTGAACATTATTTTTCACATTAATCTGTTGTGTATGTGTACACATATGTGTATTTATTTTTTTAATATGTTTTTGCCACAGCTCTTCTCTTGGTGAAGGACAACGTAGAAGAGATCAAATGCATTGTCAAGAATACCAATGACATGATGAAGGATTTAAAAGCAGGTAAACACACACGCGCACCATACATGGCTTTCACCATCTGGCCATCTAATTTTCCCCCAATACACTTGCTCTATATTCCCCGCCCTATGCACCTCAAGCTGATGTGTGGTAAGCATTCTTGCGCAAATGGCTGCTGTGCATCACCCAGGTGGGTGTTATACATTGAGGTGGGTTGAGATGGGTTCAAACCTTTTTTCGCAATATCGCCTTCAAAATAATTTCACACACATGGTTCATTAATGTTACAAAACACATTCTGCAAGTTTTGTAACAATTGGACAACCATTTTCTGATGTATAGCTTGATTTGTTTCATTCCACATCCAGTTATTATGCATTTAAAGCGCCTCACAATGGTGATGCTTATGTAGACATATTCTGGAAGTTCTGTGTTGTTTGGACAAACAATTTGCCTGATTTGCGTCCGATGTTTTAAAAAAGTAGAGCAGCAAGGAAGAGAAAGAGAGAAAGAAAAACCAAAACACACCAGCCAGCCTCACACACTAAAAAATAGAAAATAAAAAACTGAAACATCCACACCCAAGCTGGGATGTCGTGACAGTTTTACAGGCTTGAGGCCACCTGATCCTTCTCTGCTCCGATTGCCAACTGAAGGGACTTCTCGTACCACTTGGAGTAGCTGGGCTAAATGGGGGCTTCTGGGCCCGGCTCCTCCTGTCTCACCAGGGTCAAGTACAATCTCAAAACGTTTTGTAATGTTTTCTGATTGGACGACGTGTTTTCTGAAACATTGTGCAACACTTTGTTTCTTTTTAAAATAATCACTTTTGAAATAAACAGTAATTACCTTTTTTAAGTATACAGTATATGTGTGTTTAAGGGGGGGAGAGGGCTTTGAATGCTTACGATTCCTCCTTCGGACAGTCACCCAGCCCCCCTTTCCTGGCTGCACAGGGGATGCCGGAGGACGGCTACCAGAGGCTAACTCAGGCCGTTCAGCACCGACTACCGGGGACTGGCTAGCTACAGTAGCTAAAGACTGATCTACCAAGGTGCGGAGCCGGACTTCTAAATCACTGAGCCTCGCCTCCATGTCTATAAATAAACTACACTTATTACATGTACCATTACCGCTAAAGGAGGCAGAGGAGTAACTGAACATCTGACACACCGAGCAGGAGAAAGTAGGAGAGAGAGAGGGAGAAGGAGAAGCCATCGCTAGCTGCTAAGCTAAAGTCGCTAACGGCTAAGCTAAAGTACTGTAGTGTCAGCTACCAAAACTTTAGAACAACTGTGAGATTGAACAGCAGTCACTAAAAGATGGAAAGAACTGTGAGTGCTTAGGCAAAATTACTGTAAAGAATAAGTGTTTAGCGAACAGTTGGCTGCTGTAATCTAACAAATGTAACTGTTATTTAGCGAGAGCAGCACAACACGGTACCAACACACAAGCAAAAATGAGTCGACACGCTTACTGCAGTATGTCAGCAACGTCCATCCGTCAGCCAGACACGCTGTAAGTGTTAAGTGTCTTGCTCAGGGACACTGTGCCATCACCCACCCTCTTTATATTTGGAGAGTTTTTCTGTGGTCTTCAGGGAGGTACAGACATGTCGATGACCGGCCCACCCCATAACAAATGGTATTTAAATGGTATACTGTGGAATTTGCCAGAATTGCCAGATGGCAAAGCCGCAGCACAGGTCAACCACCTGGGGCGAGTTCAGAGCAGACATAACGTAGTGTTGAATATTTTCAGCTAGCCATGATGTGTGAATATTTTATATGCCTAGATTGATTAGTATAAGGATTAACAAGTTTAGAAAGTTATTTGGTTAAGGTGTAGCGAAACTACTCTTGGTTAATAAAGTTATGGATTATAATATTCGGAAATATTATGTCGTGAACACTCTTTGGGGCACCACCTGAAATTCTGTCCGCCCAAGGTCTCAGGACGCCTTAGGTATGGTTTTAATAATTACACAATTATTTACTATTGATCAGTAGGTTAATAATTGCTAATAATTTTAAATCAATTTAATCAGTCAGTCATCTCATATCAAAGTCGTGAAACCCCTCGTCCAGTGACCTGGATTTAAACGGTACACACACACAGTTCCTGTGATTAAGGTGAAATTTCTTAACTAACTAAAGTGAATACACAGTGAGGTTAAATATATATAAAACAATGACTAAACAAACAGAATGCAATCAATGTGAATTTAGTTGGTCTATTGTGGTAAAGTATTTGATTCTAAGGCCGTAAAAGAAGGAAAATTATACCATCATAACTAGGTTACATTTGGCTAGGAGTTTTAGGCTAAAGAATTAAACTACAGCTACAGAATTAAAAGCTTAAAAGGACATCAACTGATCACAGAGTGCAGACGCCCTGTAATCAGACAGCCCCACGCTGGCTGCTGGTCGTTGACGGCGGCTCGGTACGCCCTGCGACTCGGCACTGCCAGGGACTATTCCGGGGTCCTCCCGCTTCGGCTGGTGATGAGGAAACTCTTGCAGTGACAGACGGTTAACCCTGGCTCGGTTTGCTGTTTGATGTTCTCTGTATTACAGTTGGCGTAACTAACCCACGTGGCTGGCCTCCGACACGTTGTCGTTGGGAGGAGAGAGGTTAACGTTATTTCGACGGAAATAAAGCTTAAAAAAACTTGGTTGTTTCTGACCTCAAATTTGTGTTACTTTTAACAAAGAAAACAAAAGGTAAATTCCCAAGGGATCGCGGAACCTCGCGAATAAGGTAAGTAAGTTGCTGTGAGACAAAAGAAAATTTAAAAGTCTCGGAGGTCTTTCCGTGCCAAACTCTTGATCACAAGCGTTGCTAGGAGCAGGAGCAAACTCTGTGCGCAGAGCGGAAGAGACCAAGGAGAAGAGCGAGAGTGAAAGTAGCGCATGGCGCTGTGGTTTTGTCTCATGGAGCGTGTCTACCACGAGGACGGCTTCGTTATTCGAGTTTGTGTTTTACATAGAACTACCAGTTTTCTCCCAACAAGTTAGTAATCAGCCTATTACAATATACATTTCAACGGTGTTGTGCTGAGTTGTTCACACATCATTGTTTGATGAACCAAACACAGAATATTTTCTCGTTCTATAAATAGACGGCTACTTGAAATAGACCCACGAGGAACCGACGTAAAACTCTGCACGACCGGTGAAGGACAGGCGAGAGAGAGAGAGAGAGCGAGCGCCTCAGATTAGCTGGAAATTTACAGTGGAAGTTGAATGAAAAGAGACTGCAGCTCTGCAGCTTCTCAAGATTAAAGCAGAGCTACCATGTGTGAAACACACTTGTTCACACAAAGGAATTTGAGTCTGTCACTTTTGAGTCTAACTTTCTCTGGTGTCTTGTGAAAAGGGAGAGGCGTGTTAATGGCTCTTTGGGGGTAGAGAACCAAGACTGAAGAAAGGGGGTTCTCTGATGTCTGAGGTAATCTGAAAGGGGAACGTCGTTGCCCTTTTGGTCTTGGAGAGTGTTTAAATTTTCTGCTAGCCTGGTTCAGGATGAGGTTAGTCTCTGGACAAGGTTAATATTGTCACTTTAAGAGTCATGCATAGAGTCTGCTATCTCTAGGTTTATGGCTGAAACTGCCCAGACAGCACCTGGGAGTGGAGCAAACCTTTCACCCCCTCCCTTTGGGTACTTCAGCTTTATACGATGATATTACGCAAATATTACGATGACATCTTATTTCCGATGTCACATTTCACTCTTGTTTTAATATTGAATATGTGTGGATATAGAGGTCGAGGTGGGTCTGACCCTAAAACCCACAAGAAGAGGAGCAAGACAGGACATATTAACCAATGTAATACAGAGATTGAGAAGTCACATGTATGTAATGTATTTTTTTTATTTGCTTGAAATTATCACTCAGCTCGAGTTCTTCTGAATCTGTCTCTCATTGAAGAATACCATTTACACTGAACACAACAACCTCTAATTCTAACTTACAGATAGTGTGAGAGTGAGGGTCTGTCAGGCCTCTGGCCCGGTTTGAGGGCTTTGATCTCCCACAGTAGCTAATGGCAGTATTTTTATCAACAAAAAGGTGGTGCCTTGAACACCCTGGTGTGCACGCAAGCGCACTGTATAAAGCTGTTTGGTAACACAAAGTGGCGGCTGGTGAAAAATATATTCGGTGGCACTGTGCCATATCAGTTTCAGTAACCGTCCCAATACAAGTTACCACAAACTGCAGGAGACCAGTGCTCTATGAAATAGCCAATATTATATTATATTAATATCCAAAAACATAAACGGTGAACATAAACATAGAAAGTGACATGAAAAGAAAATATTCAAGTAAAGTACAAATAGGCTACCTCTACTTTGTACTTCAGTACAGTAGGAAGTTACTGTCCACTAATGGAAATAGCCACATGTTAACACTTTAGAGCTGCCTATAAACGATCCAGCTTACCTCTGAAGCCACCGGCTGTTCTCCTTGTTGATGCACCAACTGGCAGTGGGCAGAAATGTCAGATGCCTGAATAGCAAGATATTCTGCATTTTCTTCTCAGATAAATGTAGTGTGTCCTTTACTCCTGTAACAGTCCGTATGTAGCCGTCCCCGCCATTTAAAAAGCAAGCATGGGAAGCAAAATACGGCATTTCCATGATTGAGCAAGAGAGAAGGAATAGAACCACCTGAAGGGGGCACTTAAAGCCTGAAAACCTAAATTAGGGCGTAACGATTTTGAAAAGAAATCTAATTAAATTTCTTTTTACCAATATTGCGATTATGATTTTGTATTTTTCAAAATGAACAAGCAGTAAATCAGTGTATAGTATGGCCAAAAGTATCAAATTTTAATAATATGAGAAAGATCATTTGGGCCAAGTCATGGCATTAAATAATATAACATCATCAGGTCGGACGACCTGCAGACCACAAGAAAAACAAAAGGTCACCACAGTGTGTTATACAGCAAGCGCTCAGTACAAAACCCACAGTTCAACCACCAATTAATGCTTCCTGATCTCATCTTTCTGTATCCCAGTAAGCAAACAAAAAATACTCAGTTTGAGGTTCAGTTCAAAAGTTGGCCAATGAAAATAAAATCAAGTGACGCATCTGGTGTTTAATAGACAAGCTCAGTAATTCTCCGACAACACCGGAGTCTCCCACCCCCACATCCACTTTCTAAAAGGTATGATTGGTTGGGGGGCAGGATTAGTAGTCAGAGGAACTGGAAGAGCAGAAAAACGAGGGAGATATGCGAGAGAAGTAGGCGCTGCAGTGTGAGTGTGCGGCTGTGTTTTGTGTGACGAAGAGCTACAAACCAAGATGAATATTAGAGTGTAGAGCCCCAGTGTTAGCCTGACTCATTTAAGAGAAGTGTGTTTGTGGCTAAGAGTCTGCTATGGACATTACTGTGTTTCTCTGAGCTAACTTCGGCCGGTAGGCCAATGGGCACAGTATCTCATGTGTGTGTGTGTGTGTGCGGACTTTGAGGCCCGGACAGAAAACCAGATAGCGCCCCGTGTGACCGGAAAAACACGGGTGCACCTCTGGCTCAGAGGGAGACCAGCCGTCTTCTTCATCATCATCATCACTGGGACTGAGAGTAACCCGTGTTCCTGCTCGACACCCTCTGCTACAACTGTTGTTACTAGTCCTATTGTTGTTATTACCATTAACGTGGTTCATATCAATCCCTGCTGCGTGCCTCTGGTGAAAAGGCAGCCTGTGTTTGTGTCACCCAAACAACAAACTGTGGGTAACAAAGGACATCAAGGACATCCTGAATGCAAAGAGGAGGGCTTTCAGAGACGGGAATAGGGAGGAGGTGAGGGCCATTCAGGGGGCCTGAAGGTGAAGATCAGGGAGGCTAAGGAGAAGTACAGGAGGAAGCTGGAGCTTAAACTCCAGCAAAACAACATGAGGGAGGTCTGGAGCGGCATGAGGAACATCACTGGCTTCACATCCGGGCCAACCAACTGAATCTGTTCTTTAACTGATGTGATGCTATGGCTCCTAATCCCACTACTCCCCCCTCCTCCTCCTCCTCACTGTCCCCTCCTGTGAGACACCAACCCCCCCTCCCCTGGCTCTCAGCTTAACTGCTCTCTCCAGCCTGACAACTCGTCCCCTCCCCCACCAGTGACCTCTGTGTGCCTCACTGCTGACCAGGTGAGAAGACAGCTGAGGACACTCCACTCTAATAAGGCTGCAGGCCCTGACGGTGTCCATCCCAAGGTGCTCAAAGCCTGTGCCCCCCAGCTATGTGGAGTCTTTCACTATGTCTTCAACCTGAGCCTGAGTCTCCAAAGGGTCCCTGTGCTGTGGAAGACATCTTGCCTCGTTCCTGTGCCACAGACGCCACGTCCCAGTGACTCCAAGGACTACAGACCTGTGGCACTGACCTCCCACATCGTGAAGACCCTGGAGAGACTGGTTCTGGATCAGCTGCGGCCCATGATCAGAACTCTCCTGGACCCACTCCAGTTCGTCTACCAGCCCCGACTGGGTGAGCACTGTGAGGGTCATGTTTTTTGACTTCTCCAGTGCTTTCAACACCATCCGGCCGGCCCTGCTGGGTGAGAAGATGACAGCGAGGCAGGTGGATGCCCCCCTCGTGTCCTGGATTGTTGACTGCCTGACTGGCAGACCACAGTATGTGCACCTGCAACACTGTGTGTCAGACAGCGTGGTCAGTTACACCGGGGCCCCAGTGGAAATTTGTCTTTGGCTTTACAGGCTGGTTAAAGAACCACATTGTTAAAAATCACAGCACAAACAATACATAACAAAACACACAGTACAGACAACATGTATATGATTCCAGTGTAGGGACATAGTTGTGAATGAAGATGTTCTTATTTGTTGCAGCTGCTCTATACAGTGTGGGTCGGATACAAATGCTCCATTGCTTTTTTAACGCTGTACTCAGTGTTGACTGTAAAACTTAATTTACAATCAAAAATTGGGTGGTGATGGCGCAATGGATAAGACACATGCCTTTGGAGAGAGACACCCGGGTTCAATTCCCCACTGTGACCCATCCACCAATGTATCCCTGAGCAAGACACCTAACCCCTCATTGCTCCAGAGGCGTGGGACCTCTGACGTGTAGAGCAATTGTAAGTCGCTTTGGATAAAAGCGTCAGCTAAATGAGTAAATGTAAAAATGATTCAAACTCCTCAACTATCTCAGCAGGTTTATTGTTAAAAACACGACTCTTTAGTCAACCCCTTAGATCAAACCACTTAGTTCAATTCAATTTTTCAATTCAATTCAATTTTATTTATATAGCGCCAAATCACAACAACAGTTATCTCACAGCGCTTTTCATAAAAGAGCAGGTCTAGACCGAACTCTGTGATGTTATTTACAGAAGCCCAACAGTTCCCACCAAGAGCAGCACTAGGCGACAGAGGCAAGGAAAAACTTCCTTTAAGAGGCAGAAACCTCGAGCAGAACCATGACTCAGGGTGGGCGGCCATCTGCCTCGACCGGTTGGGGTGAGAGAGAGAGAGAGAGAGAGAAAGAGAGTGAAAGAGAGTGAAAGAGAGAGAGAGAAAGAGAGTGAAAGAGAGAGAAAGAGAGAGAGAGAGAGAGAGAGAGGGATGTAAGGAGAGAGAGAGGGGAGGGAGGCAGCCTATACAATATACACACAGAGGTACAGACAGTGAAGGTGATGTTGCTATAGACTAAATGAAAAATGGTACAGATATTTATAGTAGTGTTAATGGTAACCATCGTAATGTTAATGATTATAATAACAATAATAACAATAAGACTAGCAACAATAGTCGTTGCAGCAGAGGGTGTCGAGCAGGAACACGGGGGCAGCAGGTGACCCGCAACCACAGATCCAGACTCCACAGCTCCAGAGCCAGAAAACCTGCAGGAAGTGATAGGAGGAGAGAGGAGAGGGACGAGAAAGCACAAGACTACCGGAAAGGGGAGAAGTTGTGTTAGTAACATGCAATAATGGGATGAGGTTGCATACAGAGGGAGAGAAAGTAGAGGAGAGAGGAGCTCAGTGCATCATGGGAAATCCCCCGGCAGTCTAGGCCTATAGCAGCATAACTAAGGGATGGTTCAGGACTACCTGAGCCAGCCCTAACTATAAGCTTTATCAAAGAGGAAAGTCTTAAGCCTACTCTTAAATGTGGAGATGGTGTCTGCCTCCTGAACCCAAACTGGAACCTGGTTCCACAGGAGAGGAGCTTGATAGCTGAACGCTCTGGCTCCTAGTCTTAGTGAGCTCTTCAATGTGTTTGAGATATGGAGACTGCTTAGCTGTGTCTCTCATCTGCACAAGACCAACGAGCACCATGTCATCAGCATATTTATACAACTGGCAGGTTAAATTCATTATCTGCATGTGTTCCCATCTCTATACCAGAGCCTCGTATCCCTCTCTCTTACCTCTCTCTTTTCCCTCCGCTTCCAGAACAAGACAATCCTCCAGTGTCCTCTGAAGAGGACGCACCTCCCGCTCCCTTCAAAGCACAGGCTCCAGCTCCCATCCAACAGGCCCCGCCCTACATACCGGCTCCTCCCCAAGTATACCAACAGGCCCCGGCTCTGATCGTCCAGACTGTCCAAATGGCTCAGCCAGGTTATGTAACCCTGGTGCCTCAGCCAGTGCAGATGGTACAACAGCAACAGAGTAAGTGTTTGTGTATAATTACAACATCAACAGGGTTAGTGTGTTTATATAATATGTAATTTGGTTTGTTGACATCTGTGGGAAGCCAGCCTTCTATGCAGAGTGGTAAAGAAAAAGCCAGAACTCAGAAAGATTAGTTTTAATTTTACTTTACTCTGCCTAGAAGGCCGGCATCCCGGAGTCGCCTCTTCAAGGTTGTTGTTGAGACTGGTGTTTTTCCGGTTACTCTTTAATGACACTGCCAGCTTAGGACTTGTGAGGCGTCTGTCAAACTAGACCCCCTAATGTGTTTGTCCTCTTGCCCATTTGTGCACCGGGCCCTCCCACGCCGTGGTCCTGGTTAGAGCCAGTTTATGCTGATCTGTGAAGGGAGCAGTACACAGCATTGTAGGAGGTCTTCAGTTTCTTGGCAGTTTATCTCATGGAATGGCTTCATTTGTCAGAGAAAGAACTGACCAGTTTCATGAGAAAGTTCTCTGTTTCTGGCCCTTTTGAGCTTGTATTGGAACCAACCACTGCTGATGCTCCAGATAGTCAACTAGTCTAAAGAAGGCCAGTTTTGCTAATCAGCACACCAGTTTTTAGCTGTGCTACCATGCTTGCAGAAGAGTGTTATAAAGATCAAACAGCCTTTCAAAATGATAAACTTGGATTAGCAGGTACAGTGTGCCGTTGCTGAAAATGGGCCTTTGTCCGCCTCTGAAGATTTTTGTAGGATTTTGCAATAATGAAGACATAATGCAAGATGATTCAGGAGGAGAGAGCTTGCTCTTGTGTGTGAGAGCCTGTTAATTCCATTAAATAAATTAATATCTTTATGCTATTGGGTCAGATGGAAGTCAGGCCACATTTTAAACAAATTCACTTTTATTTAACCAGGAGAGTGCCAATGAGATTAAGAACCTCTTTTGCAAGGGTGACCTGGTCAAGACGGGCAGCGGCACATAAAAATAAAAAAAACACATAGGTACAGACAACTACAGTAACACAGAAGACTAGTAAGCTAACATTTCATAAAATCATTTTGAGTCATTTTCACAATTTAATAACATTCATATATTAAGGCATCTGCCTATAAGTCTTTAATTTTGGATTTAAAAAACATTTAGCGAGATTAATTCAATGTGTTTTCAGTCCTTTTGCAATGTATTGCATGCTGAGGGTGCAGAATACACAAATCCCTTTTTTCCAGTTTCCGAGTATTTGGCACAGAGAGCATAAAGAAGTCCTGAGAATGCAAAGAAAAAAAAGAAATCAGAAGTGTCGCCTCTTACTTTTCTGCATGATATGAACACACAGCTTGGGAGCAGACAAAGAACTGCCTTTCATATGAAAGTGTACCAATGACAGAGCCTTTGGGTGGCTAGAGGAGGCAATCCTACCCGAGAGTATAGCTCACAGTGGTGAGTCAGCACTTTGCAGTTTGTAATGAACCTCAAGAAGCATGTTAAGCTGTGTCAATCACATGAAGAGCCCATTCTGACACCAAGATTTGTGGAATATCTTGGCAGGAGAAGGTGATGCTGGTAATGATGGATGACGGACCTAGTGTGGGGTGCCGACTATGATGGCTTCAGTCTTTCAGGTGGTTAGCTGCAGAAAGTTTTGCTTCATCCAAGCCTTTTTCTCCACCAAGCAGGTGGTCAGAGTGGATGGCAGGGCAGCAGTGGGGGTTGGGTTTGTCCTGAGGTAGAGTAGAAGGAAAAACAGCCAAGAATTTAGCCTCTCCCAAAGCAACATGCTAAGCTCTCCCAGTGAGGTAAGATGAGAAGACCTAGTCAGAGAGAGCAACGTAGATAGTGAAGGAGGATGTTGTGGTCCACTGTGTCAAAAGCTGCAGTCAAGTCCAGAAGGATGAGAAGAGATGGGAAGCTAGCGTCTAAGCACAAGACCAATAGAGGCGGAGGTATACCATACCAGGCAAGATCCAAGGTGCAGACTGTGTAACCATGCACCAAAGACAGTTCAGCACATGACAGCGGGTGCAAGATGCAGGTATGCGGGCCATCCATGGAGCGCCACGACCAAGTGGCTGAGTTTGCACTGGAAGTCCTAATGTCAGAATTGGATACAACTCAGGAGGTAATTGAGAAAGACCAAGCCAAGATCCTGTTGGACTTACAGACTGACAATTGGTAATGGCTAAGGACATCCACTGAACAAAATTATAGGCCACACTTTTCTTTTTGCCCCATTCATCATAAGTTGAACCAAAGTCCTGCCACTCGGCCGCCATCTTGGCAATGCCTCCGCGCAGCTATTTTGACTAGCAGCAGGCTCCTATCTAAATGAATGGGGAGAAAGCCAGCTTGGCACTTATACAGGTCACCAGGACATAAAAACTACATGAATAGAATCAGGATTAAAATCTGATAAAAATCGCTGAAAAAGTGAACTGAAAAAGACAACTTTGCCCCAAAATAAGGTTTAAGCCTTTTTCATGACCGGTTATACTTCTACTACACATGTGTCACCACTTTTGTTCATGCGCAGTGGAAGTAATACGGACCTTTATGTCAGTGTAACCACACGATTGGCTGAAATCTGATTACCGCTTTGGCTCTTAAAAGCAGGTGATTGGCTTTCTAGCAGGAGGAGCGGGATAACCGCCATCTTTGCTGTTATATATGAATGAGTGGCGTGTCTCCTCTAAATTGTCTCTGGCTGAACTCAAAGATCTAAGACTTCTCTACGTACACAAAAGGCCTATTTATCTCAAATATTGTTCACAAATCTGTCAAAATCAGATAATCCATCCACCTCACAGGTGGCCTTAGGCTGGCCACAATAAGAGGCCACTCTAAAATGTGCAGTTTCACTGTATTGGGTGGATTGGGGGTCCAGAAACCAGTCAGTATCTGGTGTGACCACCATTTGCCTCAGGCAGTGCAACACATCTCCTTCGCATAGAGTTGCTCAGGTTGTTGATTGTACAGAGATACTCTGTGTTGTCGTCCTGAAGGGAGCAGCTGAAACTCAAAATGGAGAGGGTGTGTAATAAATAAAATGAACAAACTGCATTCATTTGCACCTTCTTGTAGAGGTGAGATAGTAGACAAAAGTATATTGTATACTGTGTGTATGTGGCATTAACTGTAGTGATGTGATGCATGCAGATGTGCAGTATTGATGTAATGTCTATACAGATTTATATAGTGTTGTTTTTTATATGTCTATACATGTTTATATAGTGACGATTTTATATGTCTCTATTACAGCCTGTACGATTTATCAGCCGATGTGAGCTAATTGAATTTAATCGGTATCAGCCGTTTATAACAGCAGATATATGACTATCGAGGGCTGACTGGCCAATCGGGAGAACCAGGCCAAATCACGGTGGCCTGCGGGCCAATTTGGCTTGCCATCGATAAACTTGAACAACAATATAACATCATCTAGCAAACGTCTGCCAGCAGACACTCTTCACTTTGTACATATGTAGTTTGACAGCTGTTAGGAAGCTTCAACTCATGTTATCAAATGAAACGGTCCCTTCACTGCTGGTTTCAGTGGTAAACCACCACAACAATAACACAATTACCTACACAGACACGTTTTAAAAATACATCAATCATGAAGTAACATTTGTATTTGATACAAATGCCAAACTTATTAGCAAATTTGAACAAAACTCCCTTCACCGCTGTGCATCATGGGAAGTGAACCGCGGTTTAGTTCCGTCCTCTGACTGGCTTCAACCTCCACTGGAAGCCCCTCAGCATTTCAGCAGCAGAGTGTGTAGCCTGCACAACCTTAATGACTTGTTTTCTGTCCTTTTTACTTCCTTCTTCACTGCGGCCCGCATTATTTCCCTCATCCCACAAGGAACATTTCAGAATAAGAGCGTTTTGCCTGTACGATTTTGCTGACATGTTTAGACTTTGTTGATTTGGTGATTAGTGCTCGCTTTATGTACTTCTACTATGATTAACCCTCTGATGTATAAGGGATTTTTTCACTTTTTCTTAGATTTTACATATCTTCTTAAATTCACCTTTTAAAGGCAATTACATAACATGATACCATGTGTTTTATATCAAAATGTGCAGAAAACCCCCAGCTCTCTTTACAATGAGCCCCCCACTTGTCCTAGAGCATTGTATTAAGAGAGAGAGAGATAATGTGACTCTAAAGTCCAATTTTTGAAATTCTTCACATCTCTTATGGAAACATACCATTACTCATGTGGATGAATTCTTTTGGTGCTTGAAATGGGTCTTAGGGTCACGAAAAGTAGTGACATATATGAATAAAATTGTAGATAATGCATAATAATTGTCTAAAGTGACATTTTGAACAATCATTTTTTGATTAAAAGTGTTGTCTGTGACTCTACTTTCACCTAGTGTGAAATAAAACAGGACTGTATAGTCACTTCGTACTACACATCAGGATTTATGGGGATGTGTGCAAATAAAAAATAAGAATTACAACAGGTCTTTCTTTCAAGCAAAATGTTTACTGTGTGTATAAATGTAAATGCTCCGTACTTGTATAGCGTCTTTCTAGTCTTTTTGACCACTCAAAGTGCAAAAGCTGCACAGAAATAAAACGCACTAGTGACAAAATTATATAAATTATCATGTTTTAACTTTTAAACAATATTTCTATATAAAGCCCCACTATTTACATAATTTGCATGTTACGAGCATAGCCCTGTGTCCGAGCTGGTTGAAACCTGGAGATGGAGAGCGATGGCTGGGTCTTTGTCCATCTTCAGCTCCAAGACAGTGGAGCTGGCTGCAGAGTAGATGGGGTTGCAGGTTGCTGTTGGGGTCCTGGTGGAGACCTGGTGGCAGGCACAGGTCATGCTGCCTGTCTTCAGCTGGGAATCCTCTCAAAAAACAAGTTAGGACTTGCACTTTCAAATTCATTGAAAGAAAGTTTACACATCCTCTCTGGTCTTCCTTTAGGTCCCCCTCACACACACACATATCACTTTACACCTAACAAGAATGTGGAGGATGTGTGAGGCTTTGACAGATTTTCCTTCAGCTACTCTTCTCTGTATCTATTCCAATTTATTATCTGTGCAGTTTTAAAAGAACACTTCAACATGCAGCCTGGACAAGCCAGGGATTGAACCACCGACCTTCTGATTAACAGCCAACCCGCTCTACCTCCCGATCCACAGCCAACCCACAAGAAAATAACTTTTATACAAAGTAAATTAAAGGGACAGTCAATCTGTCAAAGTTCATGACAACTTACTGAAACACATAGCAACACAAACGCAAGTTATTTTAGACAAGATGGTCAAAGTTAGCCAAGCACTAAGTGCACCATTGCAAACAAGGTTTTATAAAATAAATATGCTTGCCGTAGTCAAATGGATCTCTTTTGTGTAATCCTCATCGTAAGAATCCAAACAGTCAGACCCCTAAAACTCGTCTCTCATCGCTGCTCTCCAAAACCGCTGCAAGAACTCAATGTAGGCATCTTCGCCATTTTCTGTCCACGTCTTCTTCTTATTTTTCCTCTTCTTTATACATGTTTTTTCCATCTTTTTCTCGCAGACTTTCCCCCCTTTCTCGTCAGCTCGGTATTTTCCCCACTGTGAGGTGATGGGTAGCTCCTTAGGGATTTTGAGAGCGTCTATTGGTTAGCTTCATACAAAATGCAGACAGACTGGATAACCCACCAATTACACAAGGTGAAGGGCCATCTTGTCTTCCCCCTAGCTCGCTGTGTGCATCACATACGATCTCGCGAGAATAAGGACTTTGAAGCTGAGAATCTCTCGATTAAGGCAATATCTGAACCTTTTCTGTTTGCTGCACGATCACGGAGATATTCGTAGAAACATTTAGTAAACACCGAGTTGATGCGCCCCCGCCTCAACCAACCTCAGGGGCTTAATTAGGCTATCTAGTTAAACTGTTTCTTTTTGGTCTGTTATAACTGTGTTTACTGTTGATATATATACGACCGGGAGACTGTACACGGTATTTTATTTTGAAAATTGACCGGCTTCTCGCTGTTTTATGTCTGACTTCCTGCCCGGTTCATCTGCTCTGTACTGCTTAACGGATGCCGTGCAAAAATACACTGGTTGCTTCTCTCTGGAGCGAGAGGCACTTTTGGGACGCCCTGCAGTGCTTCTGGTGTGAGAACAGACTACAATGAAGCAGCCGCGATGCAGGCAGACTCAGTGAGTCCGGGGTCGTGTAAACTTGGTATTAAATGGCTTGGTAGCAGGTGGGCACCGGGATGAAGCTCCGCCCTCGTCTTGAAAACTCACTGTTTACATACTCTACTTTAATGATCAGTCCCAAAAGTCAGTAGACGAACATGGTGAAGACTATACCTGGTGTGGTACCTGTTACATCAACAAATAGGGTTTGTCCCATAGACCAGGGGTTTTCAAAGGGTGAGGCGGGCCCCCCTAGGGGGGCTCCAAACAGTTTCAGGTGAGGCTCAGTGAATGGAAGTGAAACGATATTACATTACTTATTGCATTAGTTATCCAAAGGAGATCACGTAGTACAGCCTGCATGTGTGAGAGTTCAGAGATACAGTAGTTTTGAAGAAAGTTTTCCCTCCATCAGAGTCAGAAAATGGCTTAGGACAGACCTTTTTTAAAACAGTTTGGTGCAGTCAGACATTATGTCAAACAGCAATATCAGGCTATTTCGGCTCAAATGTTGAGTGTCTATGGGATCAGATAATATAATCATGATCTCATAGACATCCAGGAATTGAGCAAAATTTACCAAGTAAATTAAAGATGGGGGGGGAGGCATTTCCCAAGCTTTGTATGAGGAGAGGCCCGCAGTCTCAAACTTTGAAAACCCCTGCCATAGACTGTATATAAAAAGGTTAGTCCATAAAAATTAGCGGTTTGGTGATTTGTGTGAACAAGGTGGCCTGGGGTCGAGTCAAATACCCGGCCTAAATTCTTGTGCCAGTCCGCCCCTGATGACTATTAAAAAAGAAACACAGAGTCAGATCCTTCACTCATGTCATGGGTGTTGCATAGTTTGCCCACCAGAGGGCGCACTGCAGCTCCCCTGTTAACTACACTGCCTCATCACAAACACCACAGAAGGAAACAATCAGCTAGCCTGCATGCAGCATGTAGAAACAGCAGAGGGCTGTGTGAGCGGCGAGTCGGTCCCTGATCAAGTTAATTAATTACATGACTTAATTATAATAAAAACAGACCAACAGACTAAAGATACTTTTTCAGCCTCAGCTGGACAATAAAGTTGTATTTTATACTATCTTGTGTATATAATGCGTGTGCAATGTTGTGTGCTTCAGCCCCGGGTATGATTTGTTCTGGAAACCTGGGTGGTGTCCCCACCATGACCATGTGTCAACACTGTAGAGAGCCAGTCCAAACCAGGGTGGTGTATCACAGCGGAGTCTACGCCTGGCTGATCTGTATACTCTGCATCGTGTTTGGGTAACACACACACACACACCCGAAAGGTGTATCATAATGGTCACTTGCCAATTCTTATTTCTTTTGGCTTTGATAGATTATTAGCTTTTGATTGCAGTTTCAGTTTCTTAGCTGGTCTGTGTGTAGAGTTTTGTTGTTTGGTTGATAGATTATTAGCTTTTGATGGCAGTTTTAGTTTCTTATTTGGTCTGTGTGTAGAGTTTTGTTGTTTGGTTGATAGATTATTAGCTTTTGATGGCAGTTTCTGTTATGGGATTGCGTGGTGCGGGGACAGAGAGGACCCAAATGCAACGTTGGGAGGGAAGGAGGTTTATTGAGGGAGAAAGGGGTAAAGGGACTGGAGTGGAGGAAGAGGTGGATGTCGGGAAAGCAGAGGCTCGGGGAACCAAGGAGACAGGGGGCCAGGGAGCCGGGGAACACAGGGGCCGAGGAAGCGAGGAGAGGCGGGGGAACAGGGAGGACGCCATAAGGGAAGTCCGAGGTGGAGAGGGTCGGTGGATGAGCCCAGCCGACTGAACGGAGGACGAGGGTGAGTGTACCTGGGAGGGAAACAGACAGGGTTAGAGAAGACAGCGACACGGCACAGGGAAAATGCGAAAAAACATGAAACATGGAAGCCTGAACGTGGGGGTGGCACCAGGTATGGAGCAACGACGATCAAGCGAGGATGGTGTGGAGAACCGGGGTTGAAATACAGGCAGTCATGAGGTGGTGCTGACGAGGTGGCTGATGAGATGCAGGTGCAGGTAGTTGGCTGGGCTCAGGAGCAGAGGGAGAGAGAGAGAGAGAGAGAGAGAGCACAGGGGAGAAAACACAGGGAGGCAGGCAGGGAACAGAAAACCAAGGAAAAAGCAGAAAAAACCAGGACACTCAGCCGGGCTGCCACCACAACAATTTCAGTTTCTTATCTGCACTGTGTGTAGAGTTTTGTTGTTTGGTTGATAGATTATTAGCTTTTGATTGCAGTTTCAGTTTCTTAGCAGGACTGTGTGTAGAGTTTTGACACACTGAGACAAATTCTCCCAGAAATGTGTAATTAATCGTAAGAAACTGTTACACAAATATTTCCCTCTCTTTCCTTTTCCCTTGCTCTCTCTCTGTCTCAGGGCGGTATGTGGCTGCTGTCTCATCCCGTTTTTCATGGAAAGCTGCAAGGACGCTCACCACTTCTGCACCAAATGCAACGTTAAACTGGGTGTCCGCAGAAGGATGTAGTGTTCACACACACACACACACACACACACACACACACACACACACACGTAACAAACCCCTAACCCTACACACCTCATGTAACTAATCATCCAATAAAAGAGTTGAAAGTAACAGGGCTTGGGTCTTGGCTTGTGTCAAACTCACTGAGGAGTTCCAACGCTAAGCAGAACACTGGGTGTACGTTTAACAGTCAATACGGTAAACAGGAAAGCAAAGGACACAAGAGAGAAGTATACATGACATTCCATCAAACTCATTTTTGACAGCTATTTCCGGTCCCGCCCCAACCGGAAATATGTCTGTGTGTAACTGAGAAGAGGGTTGCGTACATCCTTCCATTGTGTGTTTTTCATTGATTTAAAGACTTTATTAACTAATACAACTTGAATGAATTAACTAGTAGGTGTTTATGACAATAAATTTATCATTAAAAAAGTATAGCAGTGAGTTATAAGTAAAGGAGGAATCTCCGGGGCCAGCAAAGGATCAGTAGGAGGTTTCTTTGGAATCAAGTCAGTCTTTATTATTAAACAAGTGAAGAATAAATTGAAATAATGACAGTAAAGCAGTAAAATGGTATAACGGTGAGTAAAAATTAAACAGCATTATAAATTACCTTCAACAGCAACAAAATAAGAGTGAGTTCCAAAATTAAACTTTGTAAAATCTTTGCTATTGCTTTGTCTTACAAACTTGCCATCACTATCACTCCAAAGCTGTAGCCTAGTCTTAAACTTGTGAGTCTTAAAATCCTTCTAGAGTCTGTGTCTCTTCTTCTCTGTCCTCTCTCTTTCTGGTGTAGCATAGGTTGTCCAGGGTGAATTGAGGAATGTGCTCCACCCCCCGCACCTCCCTCTGTTTTCTCAATGAGTCATGTTGTGTGTTTAACTGCCATCCTCAGGTAATCTTGTAGACCAGTTATTATTCAATTCAATTCAATTCAATTTTATTTATATAGCGCCAAGTCACAACAACAGTTATCTCACAGCGCTTTTCATAAAGAGCAGGTCTAGACCGTACTCTGTGATGTTATTTACAGAAGCCCAACAGTTCCCACCAAGAGCAGCACTAGGAGACAGAGGCAAGGAAAAACTTCCTTTAAGAGGCAGAAACCTCGAGCAGAACCATGGCTCAGGGTGGGCGACCATCTGCCTCGACCGGTTGGGGGTGAAGGAGAGAGAGAGAGAGAGAGACAGAAAGAGAGAGGGATGTAAGGAGAGAGAGAGAGGACGGAGGCAGCCTACACAATATACACACAGAGGTACAGACAGTGAAGGTGATGTTGCTATAGACTGAATGAAAAATGGTACAGATACAGATATTTATAATAGTGTTAATGGTAACCATCGTAATGTTAATGATTATAATAACAATAATAACAATAGGACTAGCAACAATAGTCGTTGCAGTAGAGGGTGTCGAGCAGGAACACGGGGGCAGCAGGTGACTCGCAACCACAGATCCAGACTCCACAGCTCCAGAGCCAGAAAACCTGCAGGAAGTGATAGGAGGAGAGAGGAGAGGGACGAGAAAGCACAAGACTACCAGAAAGGGGAGAAGTTGTGTTAGTAACATGCAATAATGGGATGAGGTTGCATACAGAGGGAGAGAAAGTAGAGGAGAGAGGAGCTCAGTGCATCATGGGAAATCCCCCGGCAGTCTAGGTCTATAGCAGCATAACTAAGGGATGGTTCAGGACTACCTGAGCCAGCCCTAACTATAAGCTTTATCAAAGAGGAAAGTCTTAAGCCTACTCTTAAATGTGGAGATGGTGTCTGCCTCCTGAACCCAAACTGGAACCTGGTTCCACAGGAGAGGAGCTTGATAGCTGAACGCTCTGGCTCCTAGTCTACTTTTGGAGACTCTAGGAACCACAAGTAACCCTGCATTCTGGGAGCGCAGTGCTCTGGTGGGGTAGTAAGGTACTATGAGCTCTTTAAGATAAGATGGTGCCTGACCATTAAGAGCTTTGTAGGTAAGAAGAATGATTTTAAATTCTATTCTGGATTTTACTGGAAGCCAATGCAAAGAAGCTAAGACAGGAGAAATGTGATCTCTTTTCCTGGTTCCTGTCAGAACACGTGCTGCAGCATTCTGGACCAGCTGAAGAGTCTTAATGGACTTTTTCGAGCAGCCTGATAATAAGGAATTGCAGTAATCCAGCCTAGAAGTAACAAATGCATGGACTAGTTTTTATGCATCATTTTTAGACAGGATGATCCTGATTTTCGCAATATTACGTAGGTGAAAAAAGGCGGTCCTTGAAATTTGCTTAATGTGAGACTTAAACGACATGTCCTGATCAAAGATAACTCCAAGATTCCTCACAGTGGTGCTGGAGGCCAAGGCAATGCCATCCAGGGAAACTATATCTTTAGATAATGCGTCACGGAGGTGCTTGGGCCCCAGAGCAATAACTTCAGTTTTATCTGAGTTTAACATTAGAAAATTACAGGTCATCCAGGTTTTAACATCCTGAAGGCACATTTGAAGTTTAGCTAACTGATGAGTTTCATCTGGCCTGATCGATAGATATAATTGAGTATCATCTGCATAACAATGAAAGCTTATGAAATGTTTCCTGATAATATTGCCTAAGGGAAGCATATATAAAGTGAAGAGGATTGGTCCAACTATTAACTATGGTTATCTATAACCCAGACTCCGGATGTTAAAAAATGGTCTGGTTTTATCAGACAGAGTTCGTTTTTGAAACAGGAACCTATTTTTATCAGCCGGAGACAAGAGTTTGGAACTAAATAATAATCTGGTTGTACCAGAAGTAACGGCCCCAACCCCTCATCAGTTATCTCCCACATACCGTCACATACAAAATAAGAGGGTGAGCAGAGTTACCGTGAGCCAATGATAAGAGACTAGGAGGGGTTACCATAGACCAATGATGGGAGTCTGTGAAAATTAAAGGAGTCCATTTAGTCATTCAGAAACATATAACAAAACTATTCCAAAACCTAAACATGAGCAAGAGAGCAGCCAAATCGAAGATGATCAGCCAGACACCTGTAACGAGTTATCAAAACTCAACCCCTGGAAGAGCCCCAAAGAAACGAGTGTTGTACTTGAGTCGGATCCAGACGCCGCCCCCCGATACACTTCATGAGGAATGGAATTTAGATTCAGGACGTGTCTGGGGGTATGCATTCAATTATGATGTAAACGAACTTTGTTTTTACCAGTTGGAGAAAGGTGAAACATTTGGACCCCTCACAGCAAAAGCAACGCTCACATCAACGGACTTGGCTGTGCTGACTCTGTTGGTTTTAAACAATCTCAAAGCCGTGACGTCCGAGGAACCTGCTACAAAAAACAAGCAGACTCAAACAACTGTGAGAATCAAGCAGGAAGTTCCACCCATGTTTGTTCCTAAAAAAATTGTTTCTTGTAGTGTTTGGGAGACAAAAAGCTCAGCTTCCGGCAGATGGTTCTACCGTGCAAGCCATCAGAAGAGTGAAGGAGATGAAGCCTTGGATGAATTTGTCTTGCAGTATTTCAATACTGAATGTGGCGTGTTTCAGACTTCATTAAGGATACCTGTCGAGGATTGGATGGAAATGATGTTTGAAAAAGCAGAAAAGCTAAAAGATCTCTTCAAAAAAAGTCAGACCTCCTGGGAGATTCTGCAAATGAAAAAGACTCTAACGTTCACAGAAGACTCGTCCTCCAACAACGCCCCCTAAGCCCGCCCCTAAGAAAACACAATTTAAAGGAGGACTAAATCTGAAATACCATGTCTTCGAGCCAGCAGACTCATAGAAAAAGCAACTCTCTACCTCTTCTACCACATCCAGGGTCAGAGGAGACAGCTACCCCTTCTACAACACATCCGGTGATGACCCAATTTAGCATGAGCAACATGCCTACTTGGTGGTGTACGGATCGAGAGTATGAGAGCCTCGATACTAATCCTGCACCAGCAGCAGCAACACAGCAGGCCCAGGGCACCACTTCCAGTCCCTCTGCTTCACCACCACCACTAGCAGGGCTTTCAGGGACCCCTTTCATGCTAGACACGGACTCTGGTTGCATCTCCCCTCTTTCACCACCTCCATCACCCTACTGGCCCTCTTCTCCTTCTTCGACATCCTCGACTCCGAGCGCCTCACCACCATCCACGTGTCTGTATACAGGGTCCATGGTGCTACCGAGGCCTTTCTTCACAACCTCAAAATGACACGACGCATCGGTGAGAAAATTGACAAATTGTATGACATGTTGATCGGAGAAGATGAGGCCAAGATCAAGGAGATGAATGAAGTTGCGGACTTTTGGAAGGGAAAAATTAATTCATAATGGGTAATTATTGTAGAAAATATGTATATGATTTTGTTATTGTGTAAAAAAAAAAATAAATAAAATAAAATTACCTTGACTGAAGTGAGAAGATTGCATAATAATATTTACCATATTGTAGGAGGGAGTGTATTGAAATTAACATTGACTGTGTTGAGAGGATGATGTTTGTGGAAACTATTAATAATAAAAAATCATAAAGACCCTTGTATCCCGTTGTTGTTTTCAAATACCCTCAAAGAGAGCAGCAGGAAACATGTCTGAAAAACGAATTATAAAAAAGTGTATTATAATCCATCACATCCGGCTAGTTTTGGCGGAGTAGACAGACTCCATAGAGCGTTACAGGATGAAATGGGAAAAAAAGTAAATGTAGAATGCGTCAAAGATTTTTTATCTGAGCAGGATTCATATACTTTGCATAAACCTGCCAGGATACATTTTGTAAGAAATAGAGTTTTTGTACCACGACCCCTAAATCAGTTTCAGGCGGATCTTTGCGATATGCAGGCTTTGGCTGAACACAATGATGGCTTTAATTATTTATTAACAGTAATTGATGTTTTTTCCAAACGGGCATATGCTAGACCCTTGAAGAAAAAAACAGGGGTGGAGGTCTCTAAGGCATTTGAGTCTATTTTAAAAGACAGCCGGAGCCCTGAAAAGTTACAAACGGATGCGGGTAAAGAATTCTTTAACAAGACTTTTGAAAGATTAATGACAAAACAAGGTATTAATCATTTTGCAACGGCCAGTGACTTAAATGCGTCAGTGGTTGAAAGGTTTAACCGTACGCTAAAAACGTATAAAAATGACGCCTATGCAGGTCACGTCAGAAAATACCTCTCAAGTGTTTGAAAACCTGTACGGTACATTTCCT